CTAGGTGCAAAACCTCTTCCAGATTAATGAACGACCGCAGTTCTACTTCCTGACGAATCTCGCGGTTTAAACCATGGAGGAAGCGAGCAATTGTCGCCTCTCGATCCTCTCGGATGTCAGCGCGCCTCATGAGCAGCTCAAGCTCACGATAATAGTCTTCGACGGAATGAGATCCTTGCCTCAGTTCTTGCAATGACGTGTGTAATTCCCGCTGGTAATAATCAGGTACGAACTTGTCACGCATAAGGCTCCGTAACTCTGCCCTGGTGGTTACCTCTGGCTGGAGATTCTGTCGCCGCCGAAGTTGAGTTCGTTCCCACCATTGCGCGGCATAATCGGAGAATTCGTAAGTCGCGAGCTTCACCTTCTGAAGCTCTGTGTACTCGCCGTTGTGGAAGAATAAAGTAATTTTCCGCTCCCAGTCCAAATATGTTGATGCGTTGTTTGTTCCATGGAAAGTTGGAATTATGAGCTTGATCCCTCGCAATTCCGAGACAGCACCATGATCAGCCTCTGGGTTCCTTCCGACGTGGTCTCGCTCGGGCTCAGCAACTATGATTCGCTGCTCCAATTCATGGACTCGATCTGCTAAGACCTGGGGAAGAACGACGTCGCGGTTCCGTCCGCCGTTTTCTTCGTTTCCTAGGACATTCTCTGGCGGAGCCAGAGCATCCAGCCGTCGAGATTGCTGCTCTAGCTTTTGATCCAGCCTGTCAAATTGGGCCTGGAACAAAACGCCCATCTCTGCCCTGAGAGTTTGAAGCAGCTCGGTCATGTTAATTTGCTGCCCAGCCATGTCGGGTTCGTTGATTTGAGTCTCTCCTCCAGACTCTGTTTCTTCCCCTGAGCTTTGTTGATGAATGGCAGGGTCACTGGACACAGGCCCTTGAGACCTTGTCCAATGCGTTGTATCCACTGTGTTGAACACAGGCTCTGATACCACTAGATAAGCTCCAACCCTGGAAGCTTGATAAATCGAACCCTCAATTCCTTGCAATCAAACTTAGCGGATGAATTGGGGAAAGAACACGTACAAAACAGGGAATAAAGGGCAGAGTTGGGAAGAGCAACTTCAACACACGAAATCGGGAAATAGGCTCGATCCAATTGGGTGCAACTCTTCCACGATTGATGGGAACAATCAATCGATGCTGAGCTTGCTCGTTGATGGATTTAATTCCACACAACAAGGACAAATCAAAGAGCTAGAACTCAATGACTAGGGTTCTTATTAAACTTTTAACAACTACCGAACTTACAACGCAAACAATGAGTTTTTATATAGCTAAGCTAATAGAACTCGCCTAACAACTTCCTTATCCTACTGGAACTTGACAAAACACGATTTAACAGAAAAGGAATAAAATTTCAACTCAAACAAGGAAACAATGAAACAATTCTGCCTTAAGCTCCATGTCACCAAACTGCCTTTGATCCCATCTTCGAGGCCTTCGATGGACGACTTCCAGATATGAAACACTTCACCCAATGCCCTTCCTTTGTAGATGAAAATGCATATTTTCATGTGGTATTGAGCCCCTGACTCGATTCTCTGTCCTCTGCCCAGAATGGAACTCCAAAGTGACCTTCCTGAACATACCTCCAGACTTAGTCAAATTCTGGGAAACTGCCAGTTGTGCGATAGCTACTTTGAGCCCGTAGGAAGCAGCCTTAATGGCGTCGTATGAATCCGAAACCCATACCATCTTGTTCAGGAAGTCTTCATGATCAAAACGACACCCTAAACTCCCATTTTCATCAATTCAATTGGAAGAATCGAGCTCCCAAAGTTGGCTACCTGAACACCTCAATATACTTAGCCAAAATTCCAGATTATTCAAATGGGCTCCGGATACTATAACAACAGCCTATTTGTTGTTACCGTAACAACAAGGGCAACATAGTAAAATTACTATTAAATAATAAAATAAAAATCAAATCATTTATCAAACGCGTCTTCCTCCGTCCCCCGCTGTGTTTCGCCATCCTCCACCTGGAACACCTCCACTCCGTCTATCCCCATCCTCCGTCGGAGCGTAATCCATCACTATAACCGCAGCGGCGGCGGCGAAAAAACAGGTTCCTCTTCTCTCACTTCCTGCTTCGCCGTCGACTAACCGCGAGAAGAGCGCTCCAACTCCAACCTCCTCGACGACTGGACCTACAGCGCCCATCTCCCTGCCGGAACAAAACAATTCAGATCTCGTTTGTCCTCCTCCGCCTTGCTTTCCCTCACCATCTGTGCAGCTTCCTCCTCCCGCAATTTCAACTCTTCCCTGTTTATAGGTTGTTTACAGACTCACAGCTGTTCAACAGATTCGTGAAATTCGATCCCTGGAGAAAGAGCTTGTCTACCTTATTCTGCACAACCACCGGCGGCGGCGGGTCGTAGCCGAAATAGGGAACAGAGGAAGGCGTGTTTGTAGTACATCGTCGAGATCGCGACCTGGGCCTGCTCCCTGTATCCATCTCCACAATCTTCGGCATTTCATCGGCGACAGCAAGATTGCTGGCAGCGTCGATTATTATTCCGCTGTCGAAAGGAGCAGAGAGCCTCCGACTGTGGTGAACTGAAGCTGAACTTCTCGTCTCGTCAAATCTTCTCATCTCGTCGAATCTCTCCTGGAAAAAGAACCCATTCAATTAAATTTTAAAATCTCGAATTTGAATCTACAAGAAATTGGCTTTGACATTTTAGCTTACCATTGATTTCCGAGCTCGAATTTCTAATCGATTTCGAGCAGCAGCTCTCTGAGACCTAATGGCGGCTTGCGCCCTGATTAATTTGTTTCTTCGTTGTTAATTGGTAGTGGATGAGATGGCAATAATCTCTCTGCAATGTCTCTTGGTGATGGATCCAAAAACTCATTACCTATTATTCATCCTTAATGCACCAGTAGGTTATTTCTTAGTATTCCCGTCTTAAAGAGAATTAATGTGCTTGTTGTTTTAGTTAGTAAATATAGGAATATGACTTTGTTACGTACAAATCTTTGTATATGTTCTAGTAACAAATATCTTATATTGTTGTTGCTTTGCGAGCATACTAGAAACCCCCTAATGCAAACTACAAACACGGTAAAGCAAACTAAAAATGTCTTAATGCAGACCACAAATATATTAAAACAAACCAGAAACCTCGCAAAGCAAACCACATATATATTATAACAAACCAGAAACCTCGCAAAGCAAACCACAAAAGTTTCGAAAGCACACCAGAAACTTCTTAATGCAAACCAGAAACCTCCTAATGCAAACCACAAATCTCCTAAAACAAACTAGAAACCCCACAATGCAAACCACAACATTTGCGAAAGCACACCAGAAACCTCCTAATGCAAATCACAAACACAGTAAATCAAACCACAAAAAAGCAAACCATAAACGTCCTAATGCAAACCGCAAATATATTAAAACAAACCAAAAACCTCACAATGCAAACCACAAAGTTTTTGAAAGCAAACCAGAAACTTCTCAATGCAAACCACAAACACGATAAAGCAAACCGGAAACTTCTTAATGCAAACCACAAACACGATAAAGCAAACCACAAAAGGCATACGAAAATATGAGAAACCAAACCATAAATCTCACAATGTAGACCATACATCCGGTGGTAGTTGACCGTTGACCGGTCAACGAAGACCGTTGACCGGTCAACGAAGTTCGTTGACCGAACTCCGGTGACCGTCGGTGAGCAGATTCCGACGCCAATAGGCATATTCCGGCCCCGATGACTAGATTCCGACGCCGGTAAGCATATTTCGACCGCGGTGAGCATATTCCGGCGACGATGGCATATTCCGATGACAAAATAGCATATTCCGGCGACAAAAAAGCATATTCCGGTGACCAGTTTCCGGCGACCGGAGGCAGAATTCCGGCGACCAAATTTTTTGGCAGAAAATAAATTTTTTTTATTATTTAAACATATTTTTCATAATGACAATTATACCCCTGTTTTGATTTTACACTAGGTCAACTCAACTAATAAAAAGTCATCACAACTCTAGCTTTCTATTGGTTGGAGACTAGTGTTGTTACAATAACAACACAAGGGGTGTTGTCATAGTAACCGGTCCCATTCAAATGAGTTGGGCTAGCTTCGTGGGCAGGTAATTCGAGCCTGGTAATGACGCAAGTCGAGCCAGTGATTTTAATAAAGAGATCGCATTTTACATTATAATGGAAAAGAAGAGGGGACAGGGAGTCTCCTTGTCGGATTCCTCAATCTGGCGTGAAATTGGTCATAGCTTCTCCATTAAAAATGATAAAGAATTTCATTGATGTGATCTATTCTTTAATCAAAGCAGGCCATGTTGGGCTGAAACCATAAACCGAAAGAAGCTTCACCATGAAATTTCAATCAACCAGGTCATATGCTTTTCTCATGTCCCTTTGATTTCCTTTTTTTTTTTAGCTTCCTAGAATAGTTGAGAACTTTATGGATGGTGACAATGTTGTCCAAAATATGCCTTCCTCTTGTGAAGGTTGTTGCATTTCTGAGACCAAATATGGGAGTCAATTGGAGTCTTGTGGACATCAAGAATGGCAATGGGGTAGGTTCGAGACGGGTATCTCGATACTCATTAATACGCCCCTGGGGGTGTATTTTTATCAAAGTAACGCAGCAAACAATCAATCCAAAGATTGATTGAACTCGAATCAAGAACAACGCGTTCTTAATACGAAATTTGGGATAAAACGAAACCAACGGACAATTCCACACCTGGGGAAAGCTCGTATGGTATAAAAGGGTAGCTGCTCGACCACGATTGAAGAGAATATTCAATCGATACAAAGCTCACAAGCTGGGAATCCACCAAACTCAAACAAGTCGCAACTTGCACAAAACCAAAGGTTTGTTTTTCGATTAATCAAAGTCTGAATTTTTACAACGAAAATAGAAGGCTATTTATAGCCAAGAAAACCTAATACAAACCTAGATGAACAAGGAAACAAATAAAGTAAAATTATACTCTAAAAAGGTTACAAAATTCGGACACAAACTTCCTTTCTTGAAGCACAAGTAAGCTGCCCGCAAAACAGTCAAAAGGCAGCTTTCGTACTAACTTCGCGCCTTTTGTTCGAGGCCTTCCCGAACTCCAATTCTTCATCCAGTTCCTTTCCTTTGTTCACAAACATACATAGTTTCATGTTGTGGAAGCCTTTGGACTTGGATAAGATCCATACTCCTCGAATTAAGCTCCAAAGTAGGCTTCACAAAACAGTTTCCAGACTTGACCATTTTCTGGCAGTTTTCCAGTTTTGAGGTAGCAACTTTGAGACCTTGGAAAACAACCTTAATGACATCATCTGGATTCAAAAAGCATACCATTGGAAACATGACAACTTTATCTGCAAAACAAACCCTTAAACTTGATTTTCCACAAAGCCAATTGAGAGAACCATGCCTCCAAAGTATGTACCCTGAACACGGATTTTGACAGCCAAATTCTGCCCTTCTTCTTCCCAACTTCGACAGCTTCTTTGTCAAGTAATTGTGACGTGAATTGTGGACAATTTGGGATCATATCAGGCCTTCCCTCTTGAAAAAGTGTTTCCCTCAACACTTTAGCCTTTCGTTTCTCAAACCGTTCACAGAATTGATCCCAAATTGGATCGAAAGTAGGCTGCTCAAACACAATTTTCGGCATAAAAATTACGCCCTCAATTTCACCTTCAAGCTTCTCCAGGGACTTTGAAGCTTGCAGAGCTATTGGGAACCCTTCCTGAACTTGAAAAAAACCTGCCCCGACGTCCAATTTCACTTGAACACGATCAGCACAATTTCCAGGTTGTCGGACTTCTTCTGCGTACATGTTCTTGCTCGACTGAATTGGGGATTTTGAATTCTGACATTCCCAATCCAATTGAACGACTCCAAGCTCTTCTCCAGGCTGCCAATTGAATTTTTGAACCCTTTCCCAGTCTCGAATCGTCGCCGTAGCCTTCGAACCAACCAGACTTTCTGTCCCGACGTCGCCGGAATTCAAACCCGGAATTTCGAAGCCGAATTTGGGGTTTTTCAATCCAAGCATATTTGAGTCGAATTGATGGATCCTACACGTTCCTTGGATCCCCATGAATGATTCTGAAGGGCGGAATTCGCTTGATTCGAGCTTATTTTCTCTACCCACGAGAGGGTTCTTGTCGTTGTCTTCCTTCGCGGGCAGAGGTGATTTTTTCAAAATCGATTCTCGATTTTTAGGTTTGTCCTCCTCCATTGAAGCTAACTTTGACGTTTCAGGGATTGTAGGGAAGCTTGCGACACTGGTGGTTGGTTTCGAATGATCGCCGATGAGTCCACCCCATTCGTTCTCTCTCCTGCTCTGTTTCGACGGGAGGAGGTGAAGTTCTGCCATTTTCGTCACCGGGAAGATTCGTCCGTTGACAGTTTGCTCCACGACGTCTCCTCAAATCTCCATCATCCCTTCACCTTCGAAGAATTCGTCTGCACTTTCCTCCTTGATCAAATCGCCCTTTACCACGTCGGGTTAGTTTGGCTCCTGAACGCTCTGTTTCTCCGCCGCAAAACAGAGTTCCTTCTGGGCAGCAACACAGGGGTCGTTTTGTGCAGCGATGGTATGCTTTGAATCATCTTCAGTCATCCCAACCACTTCAAGCAAGTCGACAGTGTCTTTGGCGTCGCCCGACTCAACCTTCATCATCGTGACGACTTCTTCTGATCGCGTCCTCTGTTTCGTCAAAGCAGAACATGGGTGTCCTGTTCCGGCCAGCGCCTTTACTGGGTCGCCTTTCAACGTCAACGGCTTCTCCAGCAAAGCCTTACGATATTCTTCCTGGAGACTTTGCAGCGTCTTCAAGTCTTCGGCAGCTTCCTCTGGAGACAAAGGAACCAGAATGACTACATTGTTTTGCTTCTGCAAACGAAATTTCTTGCTCCTTCTACTAACTAGCCGAACTTGTCGATCATGAAACCAAGGCTGTCCGAAAAAAATATTGCTGGGCAAGTTGTAAACCACATCACACAGTACCCTATCTTTATACGAACTAATCGAAAAGTCCACAACCACTTGAGAAATCACGAAACTTGGGTATTTTTCGTACGGTAATTGGACATTGTAGGGAGCTGGATGTAGCTGTGATTGCAGCCCTAACTTTACCACTGTTCTGGAGGAGATTAAATTCCTCTCTCTGCCTCCATCAACTAGAACCAAACACACTTTCTCATCGATTAAACAACGCGTGAAGAACATCGATTCTGCTAGCTCTTCTGCCGAAATTTCCATCTTGTTTGACTCAGAAAGCAGAGTCGTCAAGAACAAACCGCCACTGATTTGAACGGGGCTCTGATACCACTTAATACGCCCCTGGTGGTGTATTTTTATCAAAGTAACGCAACAAACAATCAATCCAAAGATTGATTGAACTCGAATCAAGAACAACGCGTTCTTAATACGAAATTTGGGATAAAACGGAACCAACGGACAATTCCACACCTGGGGAAAGCTCGTATGGTATAAAAGGGTAGCTGCTCGACCACGATTGAAGAGAACATTCAATCGATACAAAGCTCACAAGCCTGGAATCCACCAAACTCAAACAAGTCGCAACTTGCACAAAACCAAAGGTTTGTTTTTCGATTAATCAAAGTCTGAATTTTTACAACGAAAATAGAAGGCTATTTATAGCCAAGAAAACCTAATACAAACCTAGATGAACAAGGAAACAAATAAAGTAAAATTCTACTCTAAAAAGGTTACAAAATTCGGACACAAACTTCCTTTCTTGAAGCACAAGTAAGCTGCCCGCAAAACAGTCAAAAGGCAGCTTTCGTACTAACTTCGCGCCTTTTGTTCGAGGCCTTTCCAAACTCCAATTCTTCATCCAATTCCTTTCCTTTGTTCACAAACATACCTAGTTTCATGTTGTGGAAGCCTTTGGACTTGGATAAGATCCATACTCATTGAATTAAGCTCCAAAGTAGACTTCACAAAACAGTTTCCAGACTTGACCATTTTCTGGCAGTTTTCCAGTTTTGAGGTAGCAACTTTGAGACCTTGGAAAACAACCTTAATGACATCATCTGGATCCAAAAAGCATACCATTGGAAACATGACAACTTTATCTGCAAAACAAACCCTTAACCTTGAATTTCCACAAAGCCAATTGAGAGAACCATGCCTCCAAAGTATGTACCCTGAACACAGATTTTGACTTAGCCAAATTCTGTCCTTCTTCTTCCCAACTTCGATAGCTTCTTTGTCAAGTAATTGTGACGTGAATTGTGGGCAATTTGGGATCATTTCACTCATACCCACCCTGTGGCAGGTCGGGTAATTTATCATGGGGTGCGGGCTAGGCTAGAATAAGAAATATTCGTTATTTTCATTTAAAGACCAAGAACAACCCATTATGTGATAAAATGTAGTTAAATTATTGGATAAATTGAGTTTTTCAATTATTTACGACTTTATTATAGATAAAATATGAGGTAATAAAAGGAAATTTCTAAGTAATTTGGCTAAGATTACATGTAATTTAGGTAAGAACGGATAGAGAATGGGGCGGTTCAGGACAGGTCGGGTCGATGAGAGGTACCCATACCCTCCCTACTCCCTAGTGGTCATGTCATCGTCACCTTCTATATGTAGTTGCAACAGCCAATTGGGAGAAACTGGCTAATCATTTATGGAACATTGACTTTGGGAACAGGAGTGATGTGTGTCTTATTCCATCCTTCTGGTAGTCATCCTATTTTACAAAAAAATTTAAATTCTTGCCAAAACACTTCCCCAACAGTCAGCCAGAACTACCTGAAAAATAACATGGGAAACCATCAGGGCCTGGAATTTTGGAAGGTCCGAGATTGAACACTGCATTGCATTGTTTGTCATTGTTAACCAGGGCACAGAGGTCTTCATTGATTTCATGGGTAACCATGGTCGGAAATGTTCTAGGTTGATAATAATTTGTAGCTTGTCATGTGCCATAAAAGAGATCTCGATAGAATTATGTTGTATGCATTCAATTACCGTTAGTATCCTTTACGCAGAGAGTTATTTGGAACTTTTCCTTTGGGTGGTGCTAGCATGGAAGAGTGACGTGTTTTGATCCCCTTCTTGAAGCCACTAGACTTTAGGTTGTTGCACCCAGAAAGATTCTTCCTCTTTCCATATTATGGACAACTCTTCCATGAGTGACTTCTCTTCATCAACTTCCTTTTGGTATCTGTTTGGACCTTGAATCACAACCAACCTTAGTTTGATCATTATTTCTCTTTTTATTTTTTCCTTCCAAGCCTTTAGAACCCACCTTTATTGTCTCAGCTGACATTGATGGATTTGTTTTATGTTTTGAGGTCCCTAGTCTCTCGCAAATTTCTTGGATGATAGATCTATATTCCTCATTTTCCTTCCATCGTTTGTCAAAACAGAAATGGGTATTTTTTGTAGATTATTTGAAACTAATATACACTTAAATGAGGCAGTGATCCAATTCAATAATTTCTTGAAGTAAAACAACAACCTTCTCAAAGTTAGCTCTCCAGGTAATAGAGTAGATAGCTCTATCGAGCCTTTCCTGGATGAGGTTAGGTCTTTGTTGCTTGTTGAACCAAGTGAAAGTTTGTCCCTTGTATCCCAAGTCAAGGATTACATTTTGGCGGGGGAAGTACTTGAAGGGTTCTACATTTTCATTACATAAGGGGCACCTCCCTTCTTTTCCATGCTCGAAGAGATCTACATTAAGGTAACGTAGGATGAACTAGCTATCTTCAATACTATCTCTAATGGAGTGTAGATGCTCCCAAAATACCTTGCTACCGAAACCAATGGTAGGGGCAAGAACAAAAGAGCAAAAGAAAACCTTACTATCATAGTTAATCTAAACATCAATGTAAAAATTCCAGGAGTATAGGACTTGTAGGTAGACTCCATTCTTTCACCAAATATCCAGGAGTCTATGACTACTAAAAGTTTCAGGAGTCGAGTTCTACATATTCCGAATGATGAAAAGACATCAGTTTTCTCTAGGTTTCTATGACCATGAGAAAGAGAATCGTCGGGAAATTTATGACAATATCTGTTGAATTAGGTATGTGTATGGGGGACAAGTTGAATGCTCTATAATTTCCACTCATGTTCTTCATTCATCTTGAAGGGTCTTTAGGAGGACCATCACTACCTGTGATAAGAAAGATCCCCCTATCTTAAGAGTCAATGTTCACCCTCATCCTTGCTCCCTCGTATTTCTCATGGTTGGGATTTTGCAAATTTTGCAAGTCCATCCACATTTTGTGGGTTCCGGATATCCGCTAATATTTCCAATAAAATTAACATTCTAAAACATACAATCCTACAATATCTATTAATCCATTAGACATAGTACAATACTACAATAGAGATATGAAGGAAGTAGCAAGCACGTTCCTTAATAGGGATTGAAAGAAAGATCACACATGATCAGGAGATGGTGAGAATGGTCATAAAGCACCTCATGCTCCCGGGTTCATTCTTCTTGCTATCAATAGAGAGTGAGGGATTAGAGGAGAGAGATGAGAATTGACAGATTGGTGAAGGTGATGAGGAGAATTAAATGAGTTCCTTCTTCCATGTACATAGAGTATAGGCCTAGATGAGAGAGACGTGAAGCGAAAGATTGGGGGATGGGATGAGGAGAGTTCGTCGAGTTCCTTCTTCCTTCAATCGACATACACCAAGGAACGAGATGATAGAGATGAGTAACGACAGATGGAAAATGACAGGAGGAGAACTAGTCGGATCTTCTATCGGCCGATCGAGAAAGTGAGTTCGTGAGAGACTGAGAGACAAAAGAAATGTGAAAGATGAGAAGCAATAATAGTGTAACGAGTGAGGATTACGATTGGGTTGACGACTTTCGGTATCCATTTAAATTTCAGACTTTTATTTGTTTACAAAATTATCTTTTTTTATCATTCTCAAATTACACTATGATGTCTGTGTTATTTTTCTATGTACAAATCCCACTTATGATTTGCCAGAAGGGCAGCATTTTCTGCGGCCATGGCTTTATTCCACTCTGGATGGAGTAAAGCCTCCTTCACAGAAGTCGATTCCAATGGTGGAGAAGCATGAGTTGTAGCAACATTAACATACTTGGGGTTAAGCTTCCTTATATTATTTTTATCATCCGTGACCATGGGATGAGGACCCGGCAAGGGTTGCGATGAGGAGGTCTGAGCAGCACCAGAAGTTGGAGAGGTTGTAGAAGAAACAACAGTCTCCGACACGGGGGGGGGGGGGGGGGGGGGGGGGGGGGGGGTGCTGACGGAGACACACCAACAATCGATTTGTGAGGACGAACATGCGACGATGATTACCAAGAAGGGGGAGCTGGTGGTGCGGGGATGAGACGTATTGGAGGTAAAAAGGTAGAAAACCACGAGAGAGACACCGGGTCCAAGCAAAAGAGGAAGGTGACGAGGCCGAGGGAGAGATCTAGACCAGGAATAGAAAGACGGCGGGAAACGATTGATAAGGTAAACGATGGTAGAAAAATCATAGGACCAATAAGATAGAGGTAGACGATCCAGATGGAGTAAGGTAAGACCAGTTTCAACTATATGACGATTTTAATGTTCAGAAAGACCATTATGCTCAGGTGTATAAGGTGGGGTGAAAAGATCAGTGACACCATGAGAAGCAAGTTCATGAAGCAGTTTGAAAAAATCACCGCCACCATCAGTGTAAAGCCTACGAATGGTAGTAGCAAAATAGTGTTCGACCAAACGTTTAAACATAGTAAATCAAACAGAACATCAGACTTACGATGCAAGTGATAAAATCAAGTATATCTAGTAAAATGGTCGTCAAGAACAAGATAATAGGAATAAAAATCAATATATTGAATTTGAGCAGGGCCTCAAACGTCATAAAAAATTAAGTCTAAGGGCCGAGAGCTCGAAAGACTAGAAATACCTAAAGGTAGTTTATGACTCTTATTCGACAAACACGAATTACAATGAGAAAGACTTGATGACTTAAAAACTGGAAGAGAATTAACACAAAGAATACTAGACAAAGTGCGAGACGACGGATGCCCAAGGCGACGATGTCATAAGTCATAAGTGTTGCGAGTGGTGACTTGCGCAAGACAGACAGCTCCAGAATCACCACCAAGCTCATACATATCATCGATGTTCATTCCATTCAGCAGCGCCTCCCCCATTCTTTGATCTTCACAACAAAAAAATCGGCAAAAAATTCCACCAAGACAGGATTAGTACGACAGAGTTTGGCAACGGATATCAACCGCTTACAAATAGCCGGAACACGTAAAATATTATTAAGTGTAAGACGACGAGTAAAAGCGGGAAGAGAGGAAGAGCCAATGTGGGTGATTGTCAAACCTGTACCATCACCAAGATAAACCTCATCGGGTCCATTATAGTCCAAATAGAGTGCTAGGTTACCAAGATCGGGAGTGACGTTATGACTAGCAGCAGAGTCCATAAGCCAAGTGTCATTCGACAGAGTAGACAGGCGGGGACGAGAGGGAGCAGTAGCGTTGTTGGCCTGTGGGCGCTGGTGGGGAAATAATTGGAAGCAGGTACGAGTAGAGTGTCCCGGCTTCTCGACGGCCGCGCCCGCGCCCCCGCTGAATAGCAAACACTGTCACCTTTAGCACCAATAATGTGTTTCATTCTCGTATGAAACATCTTGCATTGGATTATTTGTTTGTTCATCAGCTGGTCCTGTCTCGCCAGCTTCTTGTGTGGCATGTTCCTAATGCTAATCACCTTGTCGATCTGCTTACTAATTCTTTGCCCCAGGCTCAGTTTCGACTTATGTGTTCCAAGATTGGACTTGCTGACGCTGCCTCCATCTTCCGGGGGCGTAATAGAGTTAATTCATAGTTATAGTTTCCTTGTAGTAAACGTATTCCTTTCCTAGTTGTACATGGTTATTATGCTTGTAAACTGGGTTATAAATACCCCTCTCTTGTTAAAAATACAACACACAATTCCCATAAACCTTACAAAGCACACCCGACCAGTGTAAATATTGTCCCGTATTAATATTTTTGTTTTGAGTTTTGAGAAACAAACCTAAGCTTGCCCATGCATGCTTGCCAAATGAAAAACGCTTAGGATGGAAGCAATTCAGTAAAACTTGTCAAAGCCCATTTCTGCGCATCTTAGAACCAACACTATGTCCTATTTCTCCCTGACTGTGACTCTTGAGTGCATGCATAATCTGCAACTAAGCCTGTTTCTCATTTACCATAAACAAAACATCATTTCTAAATAGAAATTCTCACAGTGTGTAGTCACTATAATCCAGATATACTTCTATCATTAGTGGCGACAAAATACTGAGGAATTATAGCTCATTTTGAACTGAACTGAAAGGAGAGGAACGAAATTGTTTGATCGAAATAAGCTTTGGCAAATGGCAATCACCGTAGAAGGTGTGATGTACAGGCACTCATTTCAAAGGGTCCAAATTAGTTATGTCAGTGGGTGTCATTACTTGACTCGGCCACAGTGATGTAAAAAAAATCATTCTTGTCAAGTGTAAAAGATCAAATACTAAATGAATCATAATGGGCTAAAAGGGTAAATGCCAAGTTTGGTCATTGGGTTTACTAAAACGTGTCATGTTTAGTCACTGAAAAAAATTAATATCAATAATGGTCACTAATTTTAGTAAAACATGTCATGTTTGGTCACTCTCCATTAGTTTCTGTCCAACTCCGTTAACAATGTCAGGTTTTTGCTGACGTGGCTAACAAAATCGCCTAATCTCCAAAAAACCCAAATCCAATTTTACAACTTCGAGATCTAGTTCTCCATCATCACTTCACATCCCAAAATTGTTTTCCATCTACCGTTGGTGGGAAGGAATGTCGGGTGCGATGGAGGTGGTGGTGGGAGTTGAGAGGCCAAGATTGTAGATCTGATGGGTTTTTGTTTTGTTTGTGTTTGTTGATGTGGATCTGTGTTGGTGAGCATGAAGATGGAGGAAAAAGGGGAGAATCATAAGGCAGAGGAGGCGAAGGATGATGTGGCGGGTCGGGTTTAGTGATTTTTGGGTTAAATTTGATTGACTAAGCGAATCTGTTTGCCACGTTAGCACTTAACGGACTCTATTGATGGACTTTGACGGATACTAACAGAGAGTGACCAAACATGACATATTTTACTAAACTCAGTGACCATTATTTCAGTGACTAAACATGACACATTTTCAGTGACTAAACATGACACAACCGCTTCTCTCTTAGGGTTCAAGCACACGAAGGAGTGCGCCACTGATTGTGGAAGTACTCCGCTAAGATAGAATTCGTCGAGAGCTTTCATGACGTCATTCTTTATAATGTTACAGGATTTCTTGAAAAAGGCCAATGTAAACCCATCTGGCCCGGGTGCCTTATCCCCATTGCAAGAACATATTGCATTCCACGCTTCTGCTTCTGTGAAAGGAGAAGTTAGCCTGAGATTCTCCTCTTGACTGATTATCCCCAATTTGAAATCAACGGGGAAGGGTCTTCCCTCATCCTTCTCGGTGAATCTGTCACGATAATGGTTAACAAATGCATGTTGAAGTTGCCCTTTGTCCTCAACAGCCTTCCTGCCACTTTCAAATTCCTCACCCAATTTTTTCTTGAGTTGTTTTTTGCCCAGCTATGGAAGAATCCAATGTTCTTGTCTCCAATACCAAGTCACAACTCATGTGATTTCTGTCTCCAGGATATTTCCTCCAGCAAAAACACTCTATCCAGCTCACATTTCAGCCTGCACCTTTTAATGTTAACGTCATCAGTAATAGGACCTTGCTCTTCCATTTTGTCTTTCGCCTTTATCTTTAAGAGTAACTCTGCAACCTTCTTGTCAACCTTCCCCAAACATTCAACATTCCAGCCCTTAATTAATTGTTTTGTAGTCCTCAATCTTTGACTGCATCTGAACAGAAGTCCTGAACCATTTACCGGAATGTTCCACCAACCCACCTACTGCTAAAAAAAGCTTGGTTCTCCAACCACATATTTTCGAATTTCCATGGACGCTTGAGTCTCTCAAACACAGATCCACATCAATAGATAAATATATGAGTGAAGTATCAATAGATAAATATATGAGTGAAGTATTGTTATTAAATAAAATAATTTCTTACATTTTAGCTGTATAATCATAATTCAAGAGATAGTATATGAGTGAAGTATCATTAGATAAATAATATATTGGGTTATAGGTATAATATGTCATTCTACTATGATGTTTTGTCAGATATACCCCTCTACTATTTTTTACGTCAAACATGCTCACGTACTTTGGAAAAATGATCAAACATGCACTTTTGTTGAAATTTCCATTGAAAAATCGTCAATCATGGTTGAACCGAGATTTAAAATACCGAACATCGACAAATGGGAGGGAAAATGTAAATTTTGACCCCTGTTCATTTCTCTGGGTCTCGACAAAGTGAAATTATTATAATTATTTGGATATACAAAAGAATCAAAAAAATTCTAAAGTGAAATTATTATGAATATTTTAGACATTTATGTCTCCTAAACCAAAGTTTGGTCGTGGTTAACGATTTTTGGATGAAAATTTCAACAAAAGGACATGTTTGATAATTTTTCTAAAGTACAGGGTCATGTTTAATGTAAAAAATAGTAGAGAAACATGTTTGATAAAACATAATAATAGAGAGGCATATTATACCTATAACCATATATATTCAACAAATATTACACTAGTATAACACCATAAAATAAAATAAAAACCGGCCGTATCACCTCACTTCTCTACTCTTGTGCACTTTTTTCCTCTAGGGAACCAAAGGGATCACTCTTCTTGCATTATTGCATATAATTTCTTTCTCCTTTGTAATCTCCGGCAGGTCATCTTGACCTGTTTATACATCGATACAAATTACTTACCGGCGGCATCCCTTATCCTGCCGTTATGTTCAGAACTTCAGTATACAGTTACTTGTGGAAACGAGTAACTAACTAACGTCTACCGTAGTGCCGTTGGGAGTCCGATTGACAACGTGGTCTCCACCGTCGAACTTTCATTGCTGACCAGTCCCACGCTACTTCCTGCCGGCGCCGGTGCCACCACCGCCTCGTTTCCTGTCCCAGCTCGTTTCGACGATTCCCGTGGATTCTCACAACGCTAGAAAAAATTTAAACAACAAAAAGTTAATGGAGGAAATATGAACTGAGGTCACAAAATCCAAAACCCCACCAATTTCTTTCAACTACGTACTGACCTTTTCACATAAAGTTGCCTTCTGTTGTAGCAACTCCCTTTCCTGCAAACAAAATTCCATATCACAAAATGTACCAACAATCGATCATTTCGTCATGTTGGTCATTTCGAAACGAGACGCTATAGAAGTGGTCGATATTAAATGATATGAACATAACGCTTGGTTATTTTTGTTATCTGCAAATAGACTTTTCATTTCAATAAATCACTATAATTACTGTTGATTCATAAAAGTGGGTCAAAAGTGCGATTTGACACATTTTCACTGCATCTACCAACAGATTTGTTCCATTTATACACTGCAATTTTTACATGGAATGTTAGAGCGTTTTGGTGACTTAGAGGTTAGAAGCGTACACAAAAGCGTAATTTTTTTTAACTTTAAAACGTGATTTTGTGTATACAACTAAAATCTTCATATATCAAAATGAGAAAAATCGATGGCTAAACACCCTACCCTAAAATCAACCCTATCAAACAAAGTGTGCTTGCTAACATGCATTGACCTACTATCACTGCATGGATGATCAGATAGAGTCCAGCATTTTACCTGTAACCTTAGTTGCTTCATCTGCTCCATGAACATCTCATCCTGAACATATTTAACCCAACATGGCCAAAGATTACTAACTGATTCGAACTTAATTATTCATCAAAGAAAAAGATTACTGGAACTTAAAACCCAATTACACAAAATATATAGCTAGAGGAATGCGAAAAACACTGTCATGATCGAGTTCTAGTGTATATTATTAATGGTGGATGCATACATACTTTTCTGCGTCGGATGTTTGTTAAGCTTCTTTCCAACTGCTCGCCTATGTTTCGGATCTCTTCCAGGGAACACGACCCCAACTGTTCTCCCAATAGCTTCCTGTTTATATATCAGTGACACCCATAATCACAAAAGCTGACCAAGTTAGCTTATCCATGTTTGTCCCAATTCTACAAGTTAGTTTCGGTTAAGAAAGAAAGAAAGAAACCTTCTGGAGGCTTCCAGCTGCTCAATGTTCTTGGCCATAGAAGCGGATTCTTGCTTGAGTTGCTGCAATTGGAATAATCAAGCACACTATGAGGATAGAATAAGAAGAAGAAGGAAAAGATATCACTCTTAAAAATGCAATATAAATTTGCAAAACAGAATAGCAATCGTTCACTATATAGCCTGGGGGACTGATCACCTGAATGCAGTAATCTGCACCTCTCTTGTCGACTTCCAGCCCTGCCGCTGCATACTTTTGGTACCGACCTATCGTCTTCTGCATTCTGAAGTAAGCATTTCTGAGGTAAGCATACATTTCTGATATACGTATGCATTTTAGACTGTTATGATGAAAGAAGCCCAAGTAAAATAGTCGACTTAAGTCCCATTCCATGCAGGTCAAATAATATATATATATATATATATTATATTGGCTACTTCGGTGCACTCACTTTTTTGGGTGCATTGAATGCACCCAACTCTAAAGTTAACCATAGACATCAAATTTTGAATTTTAACTGGTAGCATTAGTATAATACGATGATATAATAAATGATCACAACTAATGAATCAATTACCTTAACCCCTAAACCTTCAATTTTGAACACCAACCCAAAATCCCAAAATGTAAACCCTAACCCTAACCCTAAATCCCTAATCTTAAATCCTTCAAATCAAAGTAAATATATGATGATTTCTTTTGTAAATTCATGGGGTTTCATGTCTATAATGTCACAAGTAATGATTGACATCGTTTTGACATGAATCACCTATTCAAAATGGCGATTATGAGACGGGTGCACTGAACGCACCCAAAAAAGTGAGTGCACCGAAGACACCACTATATATATATATATATATATATATATATATCAAATTAGTGCAATCTCTAGCAATACCAACTCTTATCTCTTTATCATTTTGTTGTCAGATTCTGCCATCCCTAGACCCAAACCTGCTGAAATTCATGGAAATTTGACCATGCAACGCTAGACTATGCAACAACCTCTTCACCACAGATGTAATGCATGCATTGTGAGGAAGATTACAGCTTAATTAAAGTGCAACCTTGTAAAACTTGTAGAAATCAATTAGGGTTGGAAAACAATCCTATCTAGCTAACACCGGACTGAATTGTACCGAATCGATATTTGAACCGAATTCGTTTCGTTCCTACAAATTATCAAAAGTATGAAAGAAAAGTGGACCTAAATTGAATTTTGACGGACTGAGTTGCCAAATGAACCAAACATGTTTTTTATTCGATTAAGGCCAAGTTTTCTTTGATTTTGGTCCAGCTTAATCTCGATGCGATATGGTTCTAGACCAAATCGACTGATGCCCATCCTTACAACCAACCAACTAAAACATATTGTAAACCCTGATGATGACTTTTCAGTGGAAGACAAGTATTCATTAAATTTTGGCAAAATACACTTGTATAGCCATAACTTTCACGTTTTTGACAAATATAGCCATTTCTATTCGAAAACCACAAATAGCGAAGAAATTGGATGGTCGTGTGACAAATCTAGCCATTTTCGTTAGAAACTTTAACGGTGTTAGAAACTCCGTTAGTTAAATTAACGTTAGGCTGACTAGGATGCCAAATCATCGCACACGTCAGCGACAACTCAACCACACTTGCCACGTAAGTGCCATATCATATTTTAATACAAAAATAAATTAGTTAATTAATTAATAACTAATTTAAAAACATAAAAATATTTATTAATTTTTTTTCTTTTCAATATCCAGTCTCCTCTCCCTCTCTCCTCTCCTTCGTCTTCCCCATCTGTTCTCCAATGGACTACTCCCCACAATCTCAATGATGGAGATAAATAGAGGTTGAATCATCACCAAAAAAAGTCAATTTCTTTACTTCTTCTCTATCAAAATCCCTTCTACCTTCCTTCTTCTCGTTGCAACCCTTTCATCCTCCCAAATAGCCAACGATGCAGTCGTTCCCAGGAGAGGCATAGCTTCAATCGAAGCCATCGCCGCATCAATCGACTTTCCCACCACCGCCGCATCAATCGTCATTCCCAACCAGCGACCATTGCTCCCAACCAACGACCCGACCCCCTCTGTCTCCGAACAAATCCCCTTCCCTGCAACAAAAATCTCAAACTCAAAAATACCCAAAATATCAAGAGAATATACCTAACCCCCTCCATCTCCGATTCAGATCTGCCTATGTTGCTCGCTACTCGCCATCACTTCGTGGAGCTCGACGATGTTGTGCTCAGGGGATTCTTTTCGTTGGCGGCGGTGGTGGTTTGAGAGATCTATTAGATTTTCGTTTCCTCTGCTTCTTCTTCCCGCAAGCACCATTGATGAACTGGAAGCTCGCGTTCAGGGGGCTTCTTGGAGTAGCGGCAAGGAGACGACTCAAAACCACACCTGCGACCTTCCCCTTCCCCTTCCCCTTCCTCCCACCTCTGCTCCTCCTCCGCACACCCCCACCGGGATAATTTCATCACCGGCGCCGATTTTCACGCTCCTCAATGATCACCCATTTTCGCCGCCTCCGCCGCTGTCATTGCTTTTGCGAGTCCGCTTCTTCCTCTAGGTAGATTCAATAACGAAGAAAATCGTAATTCAAGGACAGAGGGAATCGAGATTTCAGATCTGGCGAAAGATGGGGATTTTGGAAAGGGGCTGACGCCATCGGCAGAGGAGTTGGGTAATCATCAATCGTCTTCACCCAACCTAGGCTCATCTTGGCTCGGCCAGCGGTGGCGAGACTCTGTCTCGGGCGTGAAAGGAGAAGCTCCGCCACGAGGGACCTACTTCTTCTCTGCGGTGTGAGGAGTTAGGGGTTTAGACGGTGGCAGATTTACGGTGGCTGAGATGGGGTTGGAGTTGATTAGGGTGTTTGATTGGAATTTGGTTTCAAAAAATGGCAAAGTGGAGGAAGAAAGAAGACGAAGATGGGCAGAGTGAGCAGTTCACGAAGATTGGAAGAAATTGAGAATGGTTTCATTAAATTTTTTATATTTGATTTTTGATTTTTTTTTCCATTCATATTTCACGTGGAATGGTTATTGATGAAATGTCTCCACGTCAGCTTTTCTGTTAGTCTAGTCAGCATGTTAGATGACACCGTTAAAAGGATGGACGGAAATGGTTATTTTGTGTTTTCGAATAGAAATGACTATATTTTTCAAAAACGTGAAAGTTATGGCTATACAAGTGTATTTTGCCTTAAATTTTCCTATCTAGTGTCATGATAACAATAACAATAGTAATTCATAATAACAATTATTGTAAGGAATGTTTTTTTTTATTAGTATTGCTTTCTTAGGATGGTTTCGTATATAAACATTATGTACATCGATGGCATATGCAATGAACTTTTTAAAGATTTTTAAGTATTTATTTGAAGTAACATATTGGAAACGGTGAAAATAAATTGATCAAACAACATTTTGGACATCGCAGAATTGCAGTTTATAGTAAATCTATATTTTGTGGCAATATATATAGCTTATCTAAGAGATAAATGCATGGTTAAAATCTATTCATGCCAAAGGTCATAAAAAGCAATTTGAAACATCACTGAATTTACACTAATGAGAGCAAACCCACCCACTGAATATATTTGCCAAATTACCATATGTGGCTCCATTTACATCAATCATCAAATCAAACCATTCATATAAGCACGTTCTACCGCAGCACCCACTTAGATCCCTTTTTCCTGAATCGTGCGCAAAGCATGGAAGGGCAGTTTAGTCTATTCTTCTTTTTTATACTTAATTCAGCCGAACTTTTTTGTTTTGGGTTTAATAATTCATACGGGCCTATATATTTTCAAGCAAGCCCGTTTTCATTTTTTATTTTGGGTTTTAATAATTCATACGAACCTCTCGATTTAAATTTACCCAAATACAAGTAAATCCATTGATTATAGGTAGGATATGGGTGAAGTATATATGGGTTTGACATGGGTTTGAGTAGGGTATGAATATTGCTTTCATACTCTAAATGGACATGGGTTGGATACTGATACCCATTTGCTTGAGGTTTTTCTTAACTACACAAACAAAAATTGGACCTATTTGTAAAACATAAAAGTTTAGGCATCAAATTGTAATACATAAACATTTTAGATACTAATATAATCGATATCAATATGACTTATGCAAAAAAATTACAGATATATTAAGCTTAGATACCAAATTGTAATTTACAATGGGTATGGGTACAAACCAAAATTCATAAATTAAAAATCCAACTCAAACCAAATAAATGGGTATGGGTACAAACTCATCAAACTCTACACATTTAGCATCTATTTGGATCTCATAGATTTTTTAAAATGCCCATGAGTTTGGGCAAAATTTTCATCCCTAATAACTAATTAACTAAGGTTGTCATGTTCATGTTAGAACCCTCTCCATCATCAACTATTTTACTTATATATTATTTAGACTAATATTTTTACGACTACAAATTTTGTAGTTCAATGCTTGAAAGAAATATTTCCCGTAGAGAATCATCCAAACAATTAAATATTGTGATTGATTTTCTTTTTTACAGATAATTTTTAATCATATGCATCTTATAATTTAATGTGTGTTCATGTCACATTTGATTTAGGAGAATAAAGAGTCATTTTCATACCACCAAAAGGTGTGATGGACTATTATTAGTCTCTATGTGAAGCAGAAAATAAGTTTTATAACGACATGAACAACTATCAATTGTTTATAATCTCACTAACTATTTCGCACTGCTTGATATTAAAAATTATTACTATCCATTTTAAACCTTCACAAATTAATTAACATAAGTTAGAGTTGAAGAGAACTGATTAATCATTGAAAAAATTACCAAGAAGAAGACGTGCTTTTTATTAAAGAAAAATGCGTGTATATGAAAAAGTTATCAACATTCCTACGAGAAATGTATTACAGTGAGAGAAGTGTTAGTTGATGATGCATATAGTGAAGTTGATTATGAAGATTATTGATAGTAAAGAGGTATTGATATTGGTCATTTTTTCTTCTTCGTTGAATTAATTCCCATTTTATTAACAAGAAAAAGTGCAAAGGCAAACACATTCCACACTCTGATACAACGAAGGGGAAATTCTAGAATGGAAAGTACCATGTGATCTGTAGAACCAAAAAAAACACCAGTAATCTTCTACCAATTTCTACCTATCAGACTCCTTCCTACCCAATCAAACTTATACGATTACAATCATCTTCTAAAACTGGATAGTACGAAACAAAGAAACTGGATATTGGTCATTTTAGAATACCTATAATATCATATCATTAAATTTTTTATAAGTTTATATATCCTTGCATGAGTTCTATCTTTTTAATTTCAAAAATAATTTATATAAAAGGCAACGTTTACAATGTTAGTAATCATTCTTGTGGATGCTCATTTTCTATTTTCCAAGCAATTGAGAAATTAGACTTTCTCAGTGGTCAAAATTAAGAAACTGTCTTGCTATTTAATAAAACTGTTATCATTGTTTGTTAATTCGCATGAAATTGACATATAATATAATCATGACACAAATATATAAGAAAAGGAATATTATTGAAATTTAAACTTTGAACTTTTGTCAATTGGTGTTTTCATATTGCAACCGGCCAACGGGCCGGAGTACAATCTAGTGGAGTAATTAATGGCGATTCAGGAGGCCAGTATTTTTTTTTTTTTGGTTGGTAAAAGTAACCTGCCCATTAACCCAATCTTTTTTTTTAAAAAATCACTGTCTTTTTTTTCTTCGTTGAATCAGCCTCTGTATATTTAAAGAAAAGGAACCAATACAACGAGGAGAGTCATGAAGACTCAAAAAGGAAAACAAAACAGCTGCCTCTTCTAACTCTCTCCACTCATATAACCCTCTTACTTACAGAAAGGAAAATCAAACTAAGAATATAAGGAAATTCAAACTAGATATACCCCAACCCTTCTAATTCAGCCTTTTACTCTGCGTGAGTAGTAACTATGTAATTTACTTCCTCCCTCAGCATTGCAGCTAGCTTCGCAGGAGGCTTGCATACCGATCCATGAACTACAGCACATCTTTCCTTCCACACAAAAGATACAATAAAACACCAGACCATAGCATGCCATCGCCCCAGCTGTGAGTCCCTGCTTACTATAGTTATCATACCATTCAACATTTCATCCCAATCACCATAGTGAAATAGAGTGGAACTGAAAGCAGAGGAAACCTGTTGTATATACAAGCATTGCAAAAACAAATGCTCTCTTGATTCTGCAGCCCCTCCACATAACAAGCAGGAAGCATCAGTAATCTTCCCCCATCTCAACAACTTGTCACGAGTAGTAATAGAATTTCTAAGTATAAGCCATGTCAAGAAACTGTACCTCAATGGACAGGGTTTACACCACACCAACTTATACCAAGGTACCTCAGCCTCCCTGTTTCTTATTGTTTCCCAAACCTGACGCACTGAGTATTTCTTCATCAACTTTGTCCCCCAGTAAATATCATTATTGTGTGTGTAACCAGCTTTGAATCAAAGATCTTAACTTCAACAATCTTCTCCACGTCCAGGAACTAGTGTTGGAAATCTTCATTGTCCATAGATCCCCCTGCTTACATTTATATGCATGCATCCAGGCTACTCATAAGGTTCCAGAATTCAACAGAAATAGCCAAAGCAGTCTAATAGTGCAAGCCTCATTCCAACTCACTAAATCTTTTACTCCCAATCCGCCCTCTTTTTTAGGAAGAGAAATGAACTTCCAAGCTACTTTAGCTCTGCCCTCATCAATCCCATGCCAAAGGAATTGTGAACATACCTGCTGGATTCGTTTGAAAACTTGTTTAGGCAGTACAAATAATTGCATCCAGTAATTAACAATACCTAGCAACACAGTACTAAGTAATTGTAGTCTACCCGCATATGTTAACTTCTTTGCCCTCCAGGACTTCATCTTCTTTGTTAGCTTATCCACTTAAGTATCAATTTTTTTTTAGGATAGTTTGCCAGTTATCAATGGTAATCCCAGATACCTAACAGGGAGCTGTCCCTCCTGGAAACCAGAAAGATTCAATGCATTCCTTTTGTAAATCACTGATTCCCCACCAAAATAAATCTCACACTTTGCTGGATTGCTATTCAGACCTGATATCTTATAAAAATGTTGTAATACTGCTTTAACTTGCAAAATAGCCTGTGCAGAACCAACTGTGAAAACCAAAATATCATCTGCAAAACAGACATGGTTTAGAGACACCCTCCTACACTGTGGATGAAAGGGAATTGCCCCTGTTTGTCCAGCCTTCTTTAACAGTGAAGTGAGCCCTTCCATGGCTATAGTGAAAAGGTAGGGTGATAATGGATCACCCTGCCTGACCCCCTTCCTTGCTCTAAAAAAACAACACAGACTACCATTTACATTTATACTGTAATGAGCTGTTTGAAGAAAGCTTTTAATCCATTTCATAAACTGATCCGGAAATCCCATAGAATCCATCATAAGGAAAAGATATGACCAATTAACCGAGTCAAATGCTTTCATAATGTCAACTTTAATAGCACATCGTGAAGACAGATCTTTCCTATGATATCCACTAACCAGTTCTTGTGCCAACAGGATATTATCCATTATATTCCTCCCTTTTATGAATGCAGATTGAGTACCACTTATAACTTTTGGCAACACTTCTCTAATCCTCTTAGCAAGTATTTTGGCCACAATCTTATACAGTATATTCACACAAGATATTGGCCTGAAGTTCTTTAAAGTATCAGCATTTTGTACCTTAGGGAGCAAGGAAACAGCAGTGGAATTCACACCACTGGGCATGGCACCTGTGTGAAAGAAATGCAGCACCCCTCTTGTTACATCAACACCTATGATATGCCAAGTTCTCTTGTAAAAGCCAGCAGAGAACCCATCTGGCCCTGGGGCCTTTTGTGGACTCATAGCAAATACAGCTTCCTTCACTTCTTCAGGTGTAATGGAACGGTTTAAAAACAAGCAATCTGTCCCTGACAACTTTTGCTGAACTAACTCCTCTACTTCTTCCTTCACAGGTTTGATGTCCTGATTTGCAGTACCCAACAATCTTTTGTAGTAAGAAGTGACTTCCTCCCTTATCTGATCCGTTTGTGTTAATTCTACCCCAGCCTCAGTAATTAGCCTTCTAATAGCTCTTTTTGAGTTTCTTATCTTCACAGCTTGATGAAAAAATGCTGAACTTGTATCTCCTACTGTCAACCATGAAACCCTAGACTTCTACCAACAAAAACTTTCATATGCCATACTGATCTGATCCAATTTCTGTTTACATACCTTGACTGCTTCAAAATGAGTAGTTGTAGGATCTGAGAGAGCCTGCACTTGTACTCTCTTGAATTCCTCTGCAGCCTCTTCAACTTGTTTATGCAATTCCCCATATACCTCTTTATTGAATTTTTTCAATGCTTGTTTCACTTCACGCAATTTACCTTGTATTATCTACATAGGTGTACCCTCAACCTTTTTTGCCCAAGCTGTCTCAACCACCTCTAGAAACAACGGATGCTCAGCCCAAAACTCAAAATATTTAAATGGTTTTGGATAAGAAGTAACAGAGGATGTAGTATTGACTTGAACCCCACAGTGATCAGTGAACCCTGCAGGAAAGACCTCCATTGCACAGTCCTTGTAAGATTCTATCCACTTAATATTGACCAGAGCCCTATCAAGTTTCTTGGCAATAGGATTATTCAGCTGCCTATTAGTCCAAGTGAACTGTGGCCCTGTCATTCTATAATCCAGCAGCTCCATTGTACCTATCCAGTCATTAAAATCAGTCATACTTTGGGTCACACAGGAGAGATTTGATGTTTCAGCTGGTACACGTACTGTATTGAAGTCCCCCCCCCCCACAATCCAAGGATAACCATCCACTTTCACCCTTGCTATGTCCTCATAAGTTGCCTTACATTCTACCTCATCATTTGCATCATAGACTGCTGTTAAAAAGAAACTGCTTCTATCAATATCTTCAACTATACAGTGCATATAATTTTTTCCCGGTTTTAGCACCCTGAGCTTAATGTCAGGATTCCAAAACAGCCACACACGCCCCAGATTTGAATCAACAAAGTTCAGGTACCTCTCCCAGCCTTGAAATACTTCCTCTACTGCCTTATCAGCTTTCTCTTTTTGAATTCTGGTTTCTAAAACAGCTACAACATCTACCTTATTTCTACGCAGGACTTGAAGCAAGTCCCTTTGTTTGGAGGTTTTGTTAAACCCCCTTACATTCCAGAATAAGATAATCATTTGGAGGAAGAGGGTTTCCCCCCACCCTTCTTAACCTCTTTCTTACCATCCTTCTTTTTTGGAGCTGCTTGAACCTTAATGATATTGTTTTCATCCAGCTTACTTAGTGCAGTAAATGCTGATGTAGTCTGAATCTGAGGACTTGACTGAGGAGACCAAATGCGAGGCTTAGCCCCATTTACTACCATCTGAAATTCATCCACAGTAGGAAGCTTAGGAGAACTAGCTACATCTTGAAAGGATTTCTCTAGGTTGAGAGGAATCTGGCTCGTCCCTGCAAGCTCAGGAATGATAGCACTTAGTTGAGGATCAGCATCATATAGCACCACTTCCTTACCATTTCCATTACCCACTGTTTGATCCTGCACTACCACTGGAACATCCAATTTGGCACTTTGCACCTTTTCTGTAATAGAAATCACAAGATTAACTTGATTTGGAACCCATTTCTGACCTTGTTGGTGACCTTGATGCTTAGTACATTCCCCAATAATACCAAACAGATGACATTTAGAGCAAATAGGAGGCAAGTTACAGTAAGTAATACCAATCCTTAACGAAGAGTCATCATCTGGCCACAATAACACATGATCTGGACATTCACTATCTACTGTGAGTTCCACCAGCACCTTAGCATACCCATGTCTATCTCCCATCCTTGTGGTATGATCAACACCCAACGGCACCCCAATCCAACTAGCAATTCGACTTAAACCCTGATAATCATTGTACTCCAGTGGGACATTAGCAAAATGCACCCAAATCGGCAGAGCCTTCCTCCCCAGATCCTCAACACTAATTCCCGGAGTCCATGGTCGAAGATAAAGTAGATTATTGAAGTGGAACCATGGGCCGTTCTCCAGAATCCAATCACATACCTTCTGATTTGGCAACTGTATCAGCAACATCCGATCGTAGAGCAATGAGACCCGTACCTGGCCATCGCGCCCCCAGAGCTTGTTCGCCCAACGACGCAGTACATACAGAGGAGGTGGATCCTGAAGAAATTTCCCGACCAGGCTATTCTTCCACCGCCGCTCCAGCATCTCGTACAGCTCTGGGCATACGCAATCCGCCATTAACAACTTCCGGTGGTATGTATGTCAAGCGATTAGCCTCAGAGATGCCAAACAGTGACGCCCAGGGTTTCGTTGGAATCCCCCGATTATCACCATTTGGCACCCCCGAAACTGAATTTACATCGCTTCCCTCGTCTCACTCATAAGAAAAGTAATAGAAGCGGAAGAGAGCTGCTCCGGCGCAGGTGCCGGAGCTGGCAGCGAGCTCGAGATCGGAAAACCTCGCGTACCAGAATCCCTCACCTCTCTCTACGTTTCTCTCTCTACGTGATATTAATTTATGTAACCAAATTCAAAAATCACTGTCTCTATTTATTTATTTAGTATAAAATAGAAATAAACAGCCATCTATCGGAGAAGGATGGAGTCATGGAGAGACGACTGTACTGTACCATTTAATTTAAGGGCATCCAGCAAGGCTTAATTAATCTAGTCAAAGGACACCATAGCTTCCTCACGATTGTTAGTACTTAATGACGGCTCAAGATAGGGTGCATAACTATGGGTTATGCATCAATCAATAACCAAATTTGGACCATTCATTTAGAAAATCCAGATCTAAAGATGGAAAATTAAGGACCATTTTTATGTTTCCTAGCTTTCTTAATCGGCTCATATCTTTTTCGTTTTAACTCGGATTTTAATTTATTTTTTTGCACAGATGGAACGAGTTCATCGTGCTCTACCAAATGAGAACAATTTTCAATATTTTTTTAGAAAAAAAAATTCTGGCCTCTCGGTACCAACTGCATACCATATGGTATCTTCTTCGTTTTTAATTCGTTTTTGAAAAAGTTTGCACAGAAGGGACGAGTTCATCATGATCTATTGGATCTATAAATTTCTGGGTGAACAAATTACAGGACCAAAAAATACCACACAATACCATACAATACCACCCTGGTACGGGGTGGTATTGTATGATATCTTTTTCGTTTTTAATTCATTTTTGAAAACATTTGCATAGAAGGGACGAGTTCATCATGATCTATTGGATCTACAAAGTTCTGGGTGAACAAATTACATGACCAAAAAATACCACACAATACCATACAAATACAATACCACCCTGGTACGGGGTGGTATTGTGTGGTATACAATGTTAAAAGTCGTAAATGACAATTAATATACTTCTACTATCATGTATTCAACCATCCTACAGTCTTGGTTTGTTCATACCACCATGGTACGTTTTTCAAACCATAGGTATGCTTTTATTTCAATACCAGTCAATACCATATGGTATAGACTGGTAAAAATGATTCAATTTTTTTTGTTCGAAAAATATATTAAAGTGGATATCATTTTGAAGAGCACAATTAATCTGATCTAACCGTGCAAAAGAAATTAAATTTCGACTTAAAATGAGTGAGAAATCGTCCGTCAAAGATTAAATAAGGGAAAATTAAAAGCTTTCCAGGAGAGAGAGGATGCTGATGTTATGCTGATGTGGGCTGGTTACTCATGGTTACTCACCATAAGATTAGTGACCTGATCCGTTCCCCTTAATCACGATTCACGAATTAGCAAAGACCAGATTCATTGTAGTAACTTACTCGTGGTTAGAGAACTGGGTGAGCCTTCCTCGCTGGGAGAAGACGATGACTGCAACTTCGGCGTCGCACAGTACGGACAGCTCGTGGGCTTTCTTCAACAGCCCATTCCTCCTCTTGGAGAAGGTCACCTGCCTGCTCGCCGCGTTCTCGATCTTCCTCAGCTCCACTTTCCCCCTCACCATCGATCGAATCTCTGCCCACAAAATCAATCAGCTCAATAATCAAACTCCAAGTCAAAGCGAGAAGAAGAAGAAACCGAAATCCTAGGAGATAAGCGCCAGAGATGTTCACTGAAGTTGCACCAACAGCTAGCTCCCACAATTACTCACCTGGCTCACTGAAATAAAAAGGCCGATAGATCGGTCGAGTTCCGCCGCAGCAACCGGCCGACGGTGGGGGAGAGGCGTCGTCAGAGTGGAGAGATCATCCGACGGAAAGGATGTGTAAGGGAGAGAAAACCCTAAAGAGAGATGGACAATAAATGAGGAGGAAGAAGAAGGAGAAGAAATTGGGGGGTTTTTCTCTCTGCTTCTAGTTCAACGCCGACCAGACGTAGAGAATATTTTTCTAACGAAAGGGGGGAAAAGGCGCCAGTCGGCACCCAGCCAAGACCTCAACGGAAGAGAAGTGGGACGATAGGATTGAGGGAAAGGGAACGCCTGCTAATTTCTTGCTCAATTTTGGTAGATTTGAGAATGGCTTTAATAATCTAAGTAAACAAATTAAATTGATTCCCAAAAATATAACGATGATGATGATGATGATGATGATGATGATGATGATGATGATGATGATGATGATAATAATAATAATAATAATAATAATAATATTGTTATTATTAAACAAACAACATAAGCCAACAACAAAAAAAAACAAACAACATAAGCAAGGTTGTGGTTGAGAGACAGGGAAAGAGAAGCAATGCATACTGAGGGTTGGGATTAAACAATTTTTTATTGTCATTAAGTGTATAGTTTATATTAGCCGGTTAATCGTAATTTCATAGTCGGCTAATTGAATTATTGAATAATTGTGTAGCATGTGATTCGGCAAGATTAGACCAAAATTGTTTGCATTCCTTCTAGGAGGAGATTGTTTGTTTCTAGGAGGAAATTGCTGAAAGAAGAAGAAATACGAGGAGAGGAGAGGGAGGAGATTGTTTGTTCTAAGTTCAAAAGTTTTTGGGAGGGGCCTGTATATATTGGTAGAGGGAAACACCGATATTTATATTCAGTTAGTTTTCGGTAATTCATTATCAATTATCAGTTACACTGTAAGTCATTTTGGTCTAATGATAACTGCACCGATGACTTGTAATAGTTAACGGTATAATCGTTAACTCTCCATTATCTGTAAGTTTATCGGTGTCGCTAACCAACCAACCGAATATCACTCCTACTTGAGAGACAATTAGATATCAGCTTCAGCTAGGGTTGTGCTCGGATTTGGTCAGCACCGGATCAAATCAACCAAATATATATTTAGATGGATGCAAACCAAATGGAATATAATAGGTAGGGATGGGCAATGGGTTGGTCCACACCGAACCACACCGGAATGAATCGATGTTTGGATCAGACCACACCGAATCGAATATAATATAGTTCAGTCCTTGGTCCCATGAATTTTATAAACAATGAAGAAAAATGGACCAGATTTATATTTGGACCGGACCAAATGAACCGAATGCACTATTGGTCTGGTCCTTGGTTCTAAGTTATCTTTCACTATTGGATCGCGATTCTCTGAATTTGATCCGATTTGGTCCGGACCGATGCCCACCCTAATAATAGTGACTCGACTAGAAAAATATAGATTGTCATGTCAATTAGATGACCGAATAGAGAGGACACAAAACTTGCCAAGCAATTTAAAGCCAATCACCCAATTTAATGATATCCTCGTAATAAGTCACTAAACAAAGTACCAAGCTGTTTTGCCAAAACCAATGGCTGGTAAGCATGGTCCATGAAACCGTACCGTATCGGCGGTTCAACCACGAAATACCAGTATTAGAGGCTAAATCGGTAGGCGGTATTTAACGATATTACGGTTGAATATGATTAAATTACGGTTTTACCATAAAATACCTTACAACTGACCTTCCCGGTACGATCTCCGGTACGGTTTCATGGAAGTGATTAGTGATTACTAATATCACAAATAAAGTAAAGAAAGAAAAACAGGGACTGCATAATAAAATTCGTAAACACTTGTATAGAAAATTGTGCAAAATGAAAGGGGGGAAATTTTGGCGATAGGATGTCAGCAACATCGTACAATCGACGTGCGTAGGGAACGAATAGCAGGACGAGTTTGCGATGAGGCCCGCCGGACTGTACGCTTCGCCCACTCCACCCACGTGACGCCACCCCACACCCACATCAACTATGCATCCACTGATAATGAACATTCATGTATTTTTCTCGTCTTTACTAGCCCACTAGTTCATAATTAATCAGCCTTGTTTCACAATAAAAAAAATTACCCATATTTTTTTATAATAATTTCATTTAATTCGAACCCAAAGTTGCAAAGAGGCTTGCAACAACGGAGATAAATATTTAGCATCGTAACACAATAAGTAGGGAGAAGATTGAGGCGATCATTTCTAGCGATCCAACTAGTATTTTTGTTGGATCCAGTCTGAAAAAATGGAGGATACAAACCAAAGATGAGAGGATGCCATAGCATCTCCACGACCACGACATGGAATCTGGAGAGGAGCTTTAAGCACCCACTATAGATTTGCACTCAGAAATAATCTTTATTAGAATATATATATATATGATCTGTAATTAGTGGCTGCTAAACATGCCTCCAGAATTGTCCGAGCCTCAACTCGATCGGGATGAACAAATGACTCTACCTGCGAAATCGTCATAAATTTATTCATTGGTATTAGTAATAACTACCCAAAAACCCGCCTCCTGGGAGTCTGATTAAAATATCCATTACAGTGAATCTTCCCAGGGAGATTTTTTGGCTGTGAAATTAGATGTAATGGTCCAATGCTTGACAGATCCACTAATGAAGGAGTAGGATGAGTGTGAACATGTTTTGTTGCATCACGAAACGCATTGATGGAAGTGACTACCGATGATAAACCAGCTCCTCTGAAAATGAAGTCATTGCAGGCCCTCCAAATATCCCAGACGTAAAAGGCCTTTTGTCTCATCATCTTCTTGTTGGAAGTGGGTAATCTCCTTCTGGAGTGCAATAGTCTTCAAAGGGGGGAAATACCTAGCCATGAAATTTTCCACCAGGTCAGTTCAAGAGGTGATGGACAATGGCGTTTGACCATCTAGCCCGTCTGGCTTTCTCGCTAAAAGAAAATGGTATCAGTTTTAGCCTGAGTGCCTTCTGGGTAGGGCTGCAAATGAGCCGAGCTAAGCCAAGTTTTACCCCAGGTTGAGCTTGACTCGTTAACAAATGAGCTGAGCTCGAGCCCGAGCCATTTATTAACGAGCCGAGTCGAGTTCGAGCTAGGCTTGTTTACTAAATTCTTAGATCGTATTTAATACATTCATTTTGTATGTCGAGTATGGTACATGTGATTGATGTAGCGATAAAAAATAATCAAATGTTCAACATTAATTAATCTTATATTATAATTTTTAGGTGTCATATTGTTTAGTTAATAAATTTTAACTAGTTCAAATCATGTTATTTCATAGTATCAAAACAATTTTGTACATAATTTCTTTATAGAATTAAAAATAATTAAACTTCACATGATGTGAGATATATAATTTAACAATCCTATGAATTATGAAAGTCCAAATTAGATCGATTAGTCCATAAGTCAATGATCAAGTTAGCCCTCAAACCACAATGTTGAGACATCTCATGAGCTCTAAATGAGCCAACTCACGAGTTGAGCTCAACAAGCCACCGAGTCGAGCTAGCTCGCGAGCTTCACGAGCTGAACATAGCTAGGCTCAAGCTTGGCTCGTCACTAAACGAATCGAGTTTCGAACTAGTTTTTCCCAATTCGAGCCTCGAATTGCTCGCGAGTAGCTTGGCTCATTTGCAGCCCTACTTCTGGGGTACACCGTTCACCTTGATCCCATTCGTTAGCTCATAGAAGCGATTGAGGTACTCCCTCGATTCCTCGTTGCTAAACCCACTGAACTTAATGTTATTCTGGATCATATGGATCATAATGGTCTTAATCTCAAAATTATTAGTGGTGATCGGTAGGTGTTGGATGCTGGACTTAATATCTTCGACTTTAGGGGGTGAAATAAT